GCCCCGAGCGGCAGCGTCCCGTGGACCACCACGCACAGCCCCTGGAGCGGCGCCGCCCCCACGTCCAGCCCGAGCTCCCCCAGCCGGAGCGTCATGGCGCCGCGGATGAAGGTCTGCCAGGACTTCCCGCTCTTTTCCGGCGTCGTCGGGGCCTGCAGAGGGCCCATCGCGAAGAGTTCGTCGTAAATGGTGGAGTAAAAGCGAAGCCGAGGGGCGGCTTCGCCAACAAAGCGGCGGACGCGGCCCACAAGGAGCTCCGCCCCGTCCGCGACGGCGGCCGGGCAGACCCAGCCGTGCATGTAGTCGACGTGCTCCCCGATCAGGTTTACTCGGCCCGGGGCGAAGGTGAAGAGCAGCCACTCCACCTCTCCGTCCGGCGCCGCGAAGACGCGCTGGAAGACCGCCTTCAACTTCGTCAGCGTCGCCGTCAGGCGGTGGTCCGAATAACTCTCACCCGGCATTCACCAAGAAAAGGGTTCAAAAAGGGGGTAAAAAGGGTGAAAAAGGAGTGGAAAAAGGGGGGTGTGGAAAAATTTTTTGGATTTTTTTTTTAGGGATAGTTTGGGTATTTGGGAGTAAATTTGCAGGATAAAATAAGCGATTAATCTATGGAATAAATAGAGAAAAAGAAAAGAGAAGGGAGGGGGGGGGGGGGGAATCATATAAGCGATGGAAAGCGTTCGTGCGGGTTCCTGAGGGAAACACTGGCACGCAAACAGACGCATAGGTCAATTGGATGATATTCTTATTTTTCGTTCTAATTGTTTGGCAGGATGGAAAGCCGGACGGGACGACGCCACACAACCAAAAAGAAGCGGCGAGGCCGACCTTTTTCTTTCCTGTTGCCGGTTCTCATAAGCGCGTAGGAAGAGCCGCGGGCTTTTTTATTGCGTAGTCATCCGCTCAGGAGCCCCGGATCCCGTTGAAGCAGAACCGGGAGCTCGGCCTTGACGCGGTCGAGTCCGGTTTTGAGGGATTCAATGAGGCGCAGGGCGTCGTGGAGCTCGCGGTGCTGTCGGGACCGCGCGGCGTCGGCCGCGGACAGCGCCATCGCGAGTCGCCGGTTCTCCAGCCCGACGGCGGCGGATTGCCGTTCCAACTCCCGGCATCGCGCCTCGACGGCCGCGCGATCCGAGGCGGCCTCCGGCGGCCCCAACGCGATTTCCGAAGCCCCAGAAAGGGCGGAAAGCGGAGGCGGCCGGGCCATTTGCCCGTCCGCGCGGGCCGGGGCGGCGTTCTCCCGCAGCAACGCCCGGTGCTCGGCCCGCAGCAGCGCCTCCGCGAGCTGCGCGAGGCGGATATCGCGGTCCTGAATGGCGTCCTCGTACATCGCGCGCAGCGCCTCGTCCTTTTCGTGCATCTCGCGCTGGAGCTTCTCCATCGCGAGCTGGTTTTCCCGGACAAGGGCGTGG